AAGAATCTATAATTCTACGATATTGCAAGTAAATTAGACATTTTGCTAAATTTAGTTTCCCCAAGATAGCGTGTCACTAATACCTGCGATTAAATACCGCTTGTCATAAGGCTAAGAGCTATTTTGATTTGGTTAACGGTGTATGTCAAATTTGGTAATAAAGTCACTATTTCGAAAGAAAAAAAAATTACTGATTGGTCTCACTAATTAGCTGAAACTTTTCCAGTAGTTACTTATCTTCACCATAGACGAATACTCTAAATCGAAGAAGATTTAAATTTCCACCTTTTGAAGGGTTTTTCATATTCTTAACGGGATTTTTGAAGTAATAAATCGATCGTGACTTTAATTTCCGATTTCCATATTATTTATCCCAAAATTTAGAAATTTAAGTCTATGGAAATATATAACACTCATCTTTAAGTATTGACGTAATGTGCATGTCAAAAAGTTTGGCAGACAACAAAGGAATAATATACTAGAGCACTCGTAATTCAGGGGCTGGGGAATCAGTGGTCGGCAGCGTTCGACCCCGTACCATTGCGACTTAAGTAGCGTTTCACTGATGTTTGAATCTACATGGTCCCAAGCATTCGTTGTCTCTATTGAATGCATTACAGAGAAGAGCAATAAAAATGACCGATAATCCAACTCTCACCGGTTCATTGCAATCTCTCGAACATAAACGCAAGGTGGCCGACTTGTCGTTATTCTATCGCTATTACCATGGGAGATATTCTGACGATCTGGTCCGCCTCATTCCAGCTAGGAGAAGTTATTTGAGAATCACAAAAACCTGAGAACTACAAGAAACTCATGGGGATCCCATCCGTACGTGGTGATGCTGGCTACCCCGTGGACCTCTAAATATAGCGCTTCTTTTTGGTGGCTCTGGAAATCCCTGCCTCCTATTTTATTACCTGAACGATTTAACATTAACGTGCTCATACGGAGGGTTGATCGTCACCTTATTTCTTCCGCTCATGGTAATGCTAGTATCGTTGTAGTATAGTAGACTTTGTGAGCGGACCAATAAATAAAAAAAAACATTTGTCCTTCACATCGATCCACCTTAATTGACAGATTTTTGTTAACACATCACTGATCGTCTACGTATTTCTTCTTTGCACACCCCACATTCGTCTTTCCTAGCTCTGGGTAATTGTAATTTATAAGTAATTGCTTTGTCCAATGCCCAAGTGTCCGATCTATATGTACAGGACGTATAGTCTGGTTAAATGTACGTGCTGTTAAGGTATTTGGTGTTCTTGATGTGAAAATTTTACGAAGTTTGCCAAATGCCATTCATGCCAATGATATTCTCCTTGCCAGGTCTGCTTTTAGATTCCCTTTTGAAATTGTTAATTTTAGAACTTTTAGGTACTTTCTCAATAATGTCATTATCTGTTTCTATGTCACTATTATCATTGGTAATTTTTTTTGTTTTTGACATGTACATTTTTAGGCCGAACTCTTTGGATTTATTGTTTAGTTCTGTTAAAATTTCTTTTGTCTTCTTAGTTCGATGTTATTAGCACGATATCATCTGCAAAACGTAGATGCTTAAGGTATAAGCCATCTATCTTTACTCCTTTATTTTTCCAGTTGAATTTCCTAAATATATCTTCTGAAGCCAGTTCAAATAATTTTGGTGATATTGTGTCACCCTGTCTCACACCGCACCTGATCGGTATTTTGTCTTCTGTTTGAGGACTACCTGGAATCTTGCTCTGCATTAGATTTTGTGAATTAGTGCCCACCTACTGCAACCGAGTCAAACGCTTTTTCATAATTTACGAACACTATCCAGAGATTAATAATATATTCATATATTCGGGGTTGATATAGGCGTCTAATCTTATTTGAAGATTTCCATTTTATCGCGAGCCTTTATTCTGCACACGTAGCGTTTCCAATTCTTTCTTCCTTGGTAGTGGAAGAGCTTAAGTTGAGTACAAGTTTCCATAATATTGTTTTACTGCTTTTTTGATGTCTTATATGTGTGTTACCACCCCCACCCTCTTCCTTCGTTTTCGGTTAGTTTTACAACGTCAGCGCGTTCTCCATTCAGTGTTCTTTGTAGTTGTTTTAGGCTCTCATTTTCCTTTAATGTATTTACGATTTTTTCGTTATTGTGATTTCTTTCAACTTTTCTTATGCTTTTATTGATCGCTTAGTTAATTTTTGCAAGTTCTTCTTTCTTGTTACGATTACCTTTCAACTGTTTTCTGTTTCGGATCATATAGGTAGGGAGGTACTCAGTTTCTGCTGTAAGTTTTGTATGTTCTTGTTTTTTGATTCTTGCTGTGTTTTGTGTAGTTTTTAAGAAGTCCTTTGTAGGTTTTCTGTTCATTTCATCGAATGAAATGTTGTTGAGGTTCCTCCATAGATATTTCCCATACTGCAACTTTTTAGCCTTCAGTTGTTCGATCTCCGTTTTATTTTTTCTTCTGTATATTAGTTTGTTTCTTTCGAGCTTTGTGTTGAAGTGCACTGTAGTACTAATCATTCTATGGTCGCTTGCCATACTAACCGAGTTTATAACTTCTGTGTTTGTTTATTGTTAGTTATAATGTAATCGGTCTCGTTTCTTGTAAATCCATCGGGAAACTGTCACGTCCATCGTCTGTTCATCTTTTTCTTAAAATAAGTGTTCATTATTATATCGAAAATATTTTCACATATATAATTTATTAGTTGCTGTCCTCTTTCATTTCGATCTCCCAGTCTAAAAGGTCCTATGCCTACTTGATCCTCTTCCTGACTTAATTCAACTTTGGGATTGAAATCCCCTATTATTCAATTGAAACGGGCTTTGTTGGATTTCAATGCTTGGGTAATTCATGCATATAAATTTTCAATTTCGTCGTCTTCATGTTGCGTTGTTGGGGCATAAACTTGGATTAATTTGCATCATATTCTTGATAATTTTTAAGTTTATTGTGATTACGTTCCGTTAAACTATTAAAATGCGATACAGTTGTAGTTATATCTTTGTGGATAAGAGAACCAACTCGGTTGATTTTATCATCGCCGTTACGTTTGTAATATAATGTGTGGCTACTTTCAAGTGTTATACATGCTTCGACGCATCGCCTTCGAATATGGCAGAAACCTTTAAGCATAAAAATTAATGAATAAAACTGTTATCTAAATTCATATCTTAGAAATGATAAATACCTTGTAGCAATTAAGCTACTTTGTCATTTCATTATTATTTTAGGTATGTAAATTTATTATATTTTAGGTGTTTTTAATTGTGAGCACCGGTCGGTATAGCTGTTTATATTAATTATTGTAATGTAATTCAAGCAAATTCACTTATTTCCATTTAAATTTAGGTTTAGATTGTAATTAGGAGTCAACCTGATTTTTATGTAAGTACTACTTCCATTCAGGTGGCACCATACCATCTCTATTCAATGATTTTCGCCCAGCTCTATACCCTTTCGAATAATACCAATCTTTCCGGTTCCTAAGCCACCTTTCTGGCTAGCTCCACCCTGCAAGTGCCTCGAGGTCAATAGTGACAATTATTTGAATTGCGCTCGACCTTGCTTGAGAACGGGCCACTCTTCCTTAGGAGCTTGGTCAAACAAGTTGACGTCAGTGACGTCAGCGAGCCCTTTTGATTTTTGGCGAACGTGCTAAGTTTTCTTAAAAGTTTCTTGAAGAGGTGAATCCTTCAAATTTCTCTCTGTGGTTCAGAGTGCTATTTATGGCTAATTAAATCAATAGTTGTATACGTCGACTCGGCCACCTCTTTTTTGTGATTTTATTGGAACATGCTAGCTTACCTTTATCTGCCACCACTTCGGGTGATCCAGTGTCTGTATTGTATGTCAAATCAGGGTATACGAGGAGCTCCTTGTTCAGGGTAGTAATATTGGCCCCTACTTCTGAGATCACTTTCATGGTCCCTGATGGATAGTGCCTATCGTCCTTGATGACACCTCAACTTGGAAGTAGCGACCACAGGTTTCTTTACGTTTAAATTTTACTTTTTATATTATATTTTTTATTGAGCATTACCCAATTGGAATGTTTCATTTCTATGTTCAGTTCGCTGTTCGGCTGAGCATATGAATTTTCGGAACAGATAGACTCAACGAAGTCGTTCTATATTTTTAATTGAGCATTACCTAGTTAGAATGTCTCATTTCTATGTTCAGTTCACTGTTCGGTTGTGCATATGAGTTTTAAGGGCAGACAGACCAGTAGAAAGGGTCCCAATTTGAATAAAATGATCGATCATTATTATTATCTCACACAATAATATTTAGTTAAGTATGGTACTGGGTTGGAATCGAATTACTCTTACATTTATGATTCTCATTAAATTGACATCCTAGATTTTGAATTATTCATTAAACTTTTATTAAACATAATCAAGTGGAAGGTTGCTGTATTATTTCTTTTAATACATAATATTTCCGATTTAATATTGAGGTCTATTTCGAAGTTTGAGACATAAATAAAAACTTCGTGACGCCCTCAGTAAACACTCCTTATACATGACATTTCTGCTTTCCGATGAACAGCTGCCGTAAGCAATCACATGTTTTTAATCCAAAGTAAATAAAAACGTTACAACCCAGTGATATATACCTACAAAGTTCAGATCATTAGTGTTCCATGTTCCAAACGCGCATTTTCATTCGAATTTGTTTCTGTTTTTTCCGCTTTAGAAAGAACAAATAGTTTGGGTTAGTGTGTGATACAGATGCATAGGTACCTATGCTATAGAATGAAGATCACTACCTAGTTAGCAAAACCAAGTACTATCGGTACCTACCTATATTATCTCCATGTTGTGTACGTGAAGCTATAAAACAGATAGAAAAATGGAACACCCAATGGAGCATTACTCTGTCAACTTTATTGTAGAATAATCATACATGAGAACGAAACCGACAATCTAAAATCACGTCTTTTTGATCCTCATACGTTTGTACCTATATATTCATATAACAATAACTATAAGAAAAAAACAACCAGTCTCAACATTAAAAAATGTTTATATTGAAAAAAAGTCAACATGTATATATTATACTATATTAATACTTATACTAATAATTGCACTGGGTTTTCGTTCATGATAAGATACAGGGTGGGTATTCTAAACCAAAACAAACTCAATATTTTTTTACATATTTAATTTAAATCGACGTCGCCTAAACATATTCAAACTGTTATTAAGTATTTTGCCAGAAGTACATATTATTTTAACCTAATTTTGATTCCATTCGCCGCTCTTTTGGCCCCCTTAAAATTGATAAATAAAAACGGAGTTGAATAATGTCTCACATTAAAGGTATTTTCAAGCTCACGACAACCCCTCTTAGAAGTGGCTACTATCAGTCTAGCCAGTTCAATAACAGGACAAATATTCACATCTTCCGAGTATCAATTAGCTTAACCCCTCTGCCTTTGAGACTCTCGAGCATTTCCATTTACCAACATGCGGTGGAAGTTTTTTTTTTTTTTGCGCGGTCTATTCTATGTACGCGACTGCTTCTTCCCTGCTGATACGAATAATTCGCAGTGACAAAAGTTTTGCTTTACCCATTCAATTCGTGGTGGAAAATATACAATTTCACACTGGAAGTCAGGAGCCACGTTTTGCGAACGCGAATCACTCTTAGCGGCAGCGGATTATTCGCAGTTCAGTTCGGGATTATCCTGGATACTCTGTTTATTTTAGCAGTAACATTCATATACCTGTTCTCATACAAATATATCTACTGCATCTGCGACTGAGCCCCATTCAGAATCTTCTCAGCTCGCTCTGCATAGGGAGGGGGATAGACACGGTGCGCTAAGCATAATGAGTCTAACCATTCCCTCACTCCATTACCGCGCTCAGAAGGTACGTTACAGAATCCAGAAAACTAAGCATCTGGAATGTTTGCTCGCTCATGAACACTAACTAACATTAAAGTGACAGACCACAATGAAGAACGGCAATTGTGTCATGTGCGCTGAAGAGATACAACATCGTATCGCTGCACTAAGTAAAACAGGACGTGCGAAGGCCAAATCACAGAACATAATGCCATTTTCTTCTGGGGGAAAAAAAAAATATGAAAATGAGCTTCGAATCCACATGGCCTCGAAGGAAAAACTCTTAGATTATATTGATGAGCTTCCTTCTAGGATAAGCGAAATACTCATGACTCTCCGTCTTGAGCTCGTAAACAACCAATAAGCCACTATACTCAGTACATACGCAACCACTCTCGATTTCGACGATTACAAAGAAGTAGAGATAGATCATCCAGGTAGAATCCTAACATACATACCTCGATCAGATAAAGTTATTTTTCTAGAGATAGGAGTCGTGGCGGCAGAAACGACCAACGGACAGGCAAGTACTTTCTTTCGTAAAAAGAATAAACTGATAACAACAGGGCAACGATAGCCAAACCCTGGCATCTCATCGACTGCGTTATTGCGCGCCTAAGACTAACGTGAGCGTAAGGTGAAAGTAACTAGAGCTAATGAATGGTGGCTTGACCACCAAATGGTCCTATCTGTAATGTACCAGTGTCTGCTAGATCCCGACGAAATTAGAGAGCACTGGGTGAATGCTTAAAACAGCTATGCTGTCGGCCTGCCAAGAATTAGACTTCATTACGAGGAAACCTCAGGAATGGTTCGATCAGAATAATAAAAAAAATCGGAACGTCACAGATCGGAAGAGGAACAAGAATGCTGAAATTACAAAAACTTGAATGTTCAAAAACAAATGGTAAACTACGAATTCAATCAAATTGAAACTCTCAGCAGCAACATGGTCCCTCTAAAACTGGTATAAAGCTCCAAAGGAAAAAGCTTCTCAAATATCCCATTTCTGTTAGCTCCAGGTAGAAGAAGCATTTCCAGGAACTCCTTAACAGGGAGAGTCCCACGTGTAGGATGATATCTTAAACAATTTCTCTCAAAACCCCACACAAAACCATCTGAGTGACGTACCTTCACCCCTCAGGTAATTAAAATTAGGAATTGTATCACCCACTCAGTTTTATCCTCACAATAAACAGAATCCTTAAATTTAATTTCTACATTCCTCCCTAGACTAGGGTATTTATGAAGCATGGGATTTCCTATGTCCCACATGGTCCCATGTAATGATAATATTAATAATGCTATCTGCTTTTTAGGGTACTGAACTATAATTTTTGAAGCCATCTGTATATATTCCCTGGATCGATTTAGTAATCCTTCATAAACCTATGTAAAATACGTACAGTTATCTCATGAATCCGCCTCAAACACAGATACGATAGGTAGATTTTTACGTTCACTTTTGAAGACAGCGAAATTATTAGGCAGATAAAAATAACGTACAATATTGTATTTGAAATAATTATTAGTTATTTGATAGTTTTTTTTTTGGCTTACAATACTGCAAAATCGTTGTAATTTGAAAATTCATATCTAAAAAATAAATACCTAAATAACTTATGCTAAAATTTATTTCTTTCCTTGGCTTTCTTCATTGGTTTCGAAAACAGAACTTGCTTCTATATCAATACACTAAAAAAAAAGTTGGTGTAGGTAAGGTGAACAAACAATATGAATGATTGAAATAACATTGCGGCTTTGGCTCTATACAGTGTGATTTTTTAAGTGTGCAACATATGGGGATTTTTTTAGTAATAGCACAACCCAAATACAAACAAGGCCAAAAGTTGGTGCATGCCTAATAATCATATTAGGTGCACTTAAAATGGTTGCAAGTCAAACAGCATACAGGGTAGCTCAAACAATATCAAAGCTGTACTGTAAATTACCCTTATTTTAGAAAATTCAGCAAAATGTTATAGAGAAAAGTTGTTTGGAATTAAAAGTTATGCCTAAGTACCAAAATATAGCCTCCTAAAAAATGTTTTATTTTTTTTCGAGAAAAATCTATAATTTCTATATATTTTTTATTTTTTATTTCGGCCCTTAATACTTTCAAAAACCAATCAAAATCAAATCAATTTTACATAACTTTGTTCAAATTCAAGCATATTTGTAAAATTAACTTGGATTTTTAATTTTTCATGGAATCCCAAAATTCATGTTTGTTGCAATGATATTCAACACAACTTTAAAATGTCGCAATTTTTTTTTCAACAAGTTAAAACATTACTAATGATAATAGCCATATTAAAAAAACTCTTCCTAAAGTGCAAAAGTTTTATTTTATTTAAGTAAATATTACTACAATTTTGATATTTTTTGAGCTACCCTGTATGCTGTTTGACTTGCAACCATTCTAAGTGCACCTAATATGATTAGTAGACATGCACCAACTTTTGGCCTTGTTTATATTTTGATTGTGCTGTTACAAAAAAAAACCCATATGTTGCACAGTTAAGTAATGACACTGTATATTCTTTTTTATCAAGTGATAGTATATAAAAACTTCTACAGCCTTATAGAAAATAGTATGTCCTGTTTCTATATGCCAAATGTATTAGATATTAGATACCTACCTACTCTTTATAGGCTATAAATACCATCAGGAAGAAATTATAATCAATAGAACCTTTATGAAATGATTATTTTCGTGTGAAATTGAGTTTAGAAATGGGATATAAAAATGATTAATTTCTAGTTTTAGTATAAATAGGTACAGTGGAAATCATTGCAATTGGCACACACTCTTTTAACATCCCTCGTTTTAAGTCAAAATTCTAACCAGTAATTCTGTTTAGTGCAGTGGCGTACATGATAATTTAGCTCCTGTCGACCCATTTTCCTTTTAAATTCATGATCGCGCTACTGCCAGAACCTAGAGCTAAAGGCCGTTTTACAGCTTGCAATTCTATCTGCAATATGCAAGAAACTTGAACGAGGGCATGCGCAGAAGTGAGTCAGCTGATTGGTTTCTGCAAGATTCTTGAAACTTGAATGGCATTGCATGCAATCGGTTTGGTGCCATTTTTCTTGAAGGTTTTCGTGCAAGCTTGCGAATTTTCAGCAATTATGATGCTTAAAGTTGCTGCTGTTGCTTTCTCCTTTTTATATCAACTTATAAACAATTTTTTTATTTTTGGAAAATGCAAACATCTACAACACAACATTAAAAACAAAAAAGTATGGTTAAGGTTAGAGAAAGAAACAAGTCAAATTGCAAGGTGTAAAACGATGTGCAAGAAATCTTGAATGCAATTTTTTTGCATGCAACAAATTGCATTCAAGTTTTCTTGCAAGCTGTAAAACGGCCTTTAGGCAATTGTCTCACCTTGTGCTATCATTTCAATTGCCTCTTGCCTTTTCGTCATTGTTAAGCGTATGGTAAACCATTTTAGCAAACAAATATTTTTTTCCTTTAACAGTTTATCAAGACTATTATGTTCACCACTGACTCATCAATCTGACAAGATTTTTGACATTACCTGTGTGTCAAAGAAGTAAAATTTTGACAGATTATGGGGGATGTTTTTAAAGTGTGTGCCAATTGCAATGATTCCCACTGTACCTATGTCCTGAAAAATATTTCTATCAGATGATCTGGGTACGTTTCATTTCCTATTTTATGAATCACGGTCATTGTTAGGAAAATTTTTCTGTTTTACACTTAAATTCGAGTCAAGATAGCGATGACCCTCCGAGTGGCAGTGACAGCGTCCATAGTGAAAATAAACTTGCTGGACAATTGCTTTCGAGCAAAAGGAAAATTTCGCCTAACTTTCAAGGTCAACATTTTTGGAACCCAAATACCGTTCTCTGGTTTCCATTTCAGTGGCAGCCCGTGACTTTTATTTTGAGGGAGGAAGCCCAAAAAAAAGTGAGCGTCGTAGGTAATTTTTTTTTTGGGGAATTAATATTAAATAAAAATACATTTTGTAGCATTTTTACGGAGGAGATACTGCCTCCTTTGCCTCCCCTGACGAGCCGCCACTGTTTCATATAGCAATTTTTTTCACAAAAAATCAATCTGTCAGCTCGTGAAAACCGGAGATCGATATCCAAAAATATTGAGCTTGACAGTTAGCGAAAAAATCTCCTTGTTGGAAAGCAATTGTCCAGCAATTCAGAACGAATTAAAAAAAAAATTATGTACTGAAAAATATAAATATTTTGCGTTGGGTGTCTCAATAATCTGTGGAATCGCCAATAAATTTTTCAGTTGAGGACATATGAAATATCACAAACTTTTGCCTTTTGCCATGCCACAATGTATTCAAGGTTAGAATTGGGAATAGGTAAAGTCCGTCGATTTTAATCTGATACTCCAAAAGAATGTGAGCTGGTTGCTCCCTACATTAGAACGCCAAACGTCACCTCACGTCACACCTGTTTTTGCCATAAGCTTCACCCCCTCGGTCCTCATACGGAAAGTGTCAGATTAAAAACGACGGACAATATAGTTATTGGACTCTCGTTCAAGCCAATGTTTACATGAAAATACTTACGTCTGTTGCCTTAATCCTCGAAAGACGACCAATAGTCAATTCCGGGTAAATCCACGGCTTATCTGCGGGATCAGATTGCTCAGCTTTCCATGCTTCATACCCTTCGGCCGCTTTTTTTAATTGTTTTACCACCTTAGGCGCGAACTTCTGAGTTATCTTATTCACTAACCAAGTGGGAAGTTTACCTTTAGGGTCGGTTTGCGAAATATATCCCAGGAAACAACCGTGTTCACACTTCCGGATTACAAAACCGGTCATGAATGATATGGCTCTGAAAATAGAATTTTGAACGTTACAATTGTTTCAAAAAAAAAGACAAAAGGTTTTCTTGTAACAATAAAAATACATAAGATTGATATAAATAAAATAAAAAGATTAGTTAAAAGAAAAATTTGAAGTCTCTTTTTTTAATATGTTGAAGAAATATATAAACAAATTCAGAAACACACCTAAAAAAATATCTACAGACGGTAATTGATAACTCTGAAACGGAAATAAATAAGGCACATAACTCAACCAAATCCTGACATAGGTAAACCAATAAAACAATTAAGTAAGTTTCAAATTAAATTAGCGTATATTTCACAGTGAGGTCAAAAATCAAGTGTTGAATAATTCCAAAATATAAAATCAATTGCTGGTAAAACACTTTAACTAAAATCAATAAATAGAGGTTAACTCTCTGTCCTGTTTCATCAAATTCAAAACAATAAAATTAATATTACAATGCACCTCAATATTCTTGCCATATAAATTCATTAACAGATGCTGCCAGAAAATAAAATCAATAAATTCAACTTGTACCTGTATGAAATCGAAAGTTGGGTTAAATAACAGTTAAATGGTCAAGAGATGATATAATAGAAATCCTCAAATATATAAGTTATAGGACCCAGGATTAAAAATTGATCAATTTTCGACGATGTCAGTTCCTACTAAATAATTTTAAATTTAGAGCATGTTGTCCAACCTTGACTTCTGTTCAGATTACTGCAGGGCCGTATGTAGGGGGGGTTTTGGGGGTTCCAACCCCACCCGAAAAATAATAAAATTCAAAAAATTTAACTTAAAAACAAACAACACTTATTAAATACTTATTTATTTTTTTAATTTTTATCACTAGTGTAACAATTTTTTTTGCCACTTTGTCTAACCCCCCCCAAAATTTTGGTCTAGATACGGCCCTGGATTACTGTTTGGTTATTATTGATAAAATATAAATAAGTACATTATTTAAATATGGCAGTGCTAAAAGTAAAGTAAAGATAAATCTATAATAAATTCGATAAATCAAAAGGTAATTATTCCACCATCACCTCGGTGTCAAGAATGAGAGATTTTAAAATTATGTATGCAAGTCATAAAAAAAAAACAAATAATTTTGTTAATTGACTATAGAACAGAATTCATAAAAAAATATATTGAAAGTTATTAACGAAACTCGAGCCTCTATTCCAACAAAAGGTAGAGCACAATATCCATCCATTTTTGGTCACTTGGCGAGTGAAGTTGCACATGGAAGTTGCAGATTCTAGCATGGAATTAGGGTTAGAAGTTAAGTTTTTTTTTGTCAAATGTGGAGCTGCAGGTATCGACACGTGAAGGACTCAAGAGCTCTATGCCCACGCTGCACGAAAACGGTGATCTTTAGGGCTTGTTGCAAATAGATTTCTTGAGAAAAACAGCTGCTCGGAAAAAACGGCTCTCCGGTAAAAAAAAACAGCTCTCCGGTAAAACCCTAAGTAATAGAAATATTCCATGAACAACCATTACTTTGAAAATAAACTTAAAAAGGACTTACCACGAGGGGGTTCGAAATTCAAACTCAAATAAAACGGTAATCACGAGACTTTTTATTTAAATTTTTTCGGTAATCAATGGATTATTGCCTTACGCAACTTTATTTCGTTGAAAAAATGCCTGACGGCCGTTAAGGTACCTTTTCCACGGGAACGGTAATCGATATTATATTACACCTAGGAAGATGGCTGCCCCCTCCCGGCCACAGTCGACCTTTCAGGGCAACGGCAAGATAAGAAAAGGGCCGAAGAATTATTGTTATTGGCGACAGAAATCTTCTTTTTTTTTTTGTTTTTAATGCCAGTTACTAGACTGTCAACATTAAAGGTAATCAACTTTATATTATAATTGAAAGAAAAAAGGAACAAATACTAACTGTAGTATTTTAAATGCTACACAACGTCAAAAATATGACAAGCGGATATGATATGATGACAGATGACATCTGTTATTGTCAACACAGTGTCGAGCGACAAAAATTATAATCGGGTATAATTTTTCATCGAAATTTGACTTGTGACGACAAAAAATCAGGTTTTTCGTTGTCAAATCGTCAATATCTGACATACAGGGTGATTCAAAATCAATGATTCCAATGGATAGAATCTCGGAAACGGTAAGATATACTGTAGTGACCTTTGTGTTTTTACCATTGTATTTTTACCGTTATGTTTTCACCTTTGTTTTTATTATTGTATTTAATTATTATAAAAAAGTTAATAACTGAATTGCTCTTGATTCTCCCAAAGAAGTATCTTCTATTAGTTTCAAATATTGTGTTCAGTCAACATAATGATACGAGGTCGGTTAAATGGAGGCAAAGTTGCGTAATTTTATGCTTAACAAAATACTGTTTCAAAAATTTGAAAATTTCGAATAGTTCCCATAATATTCGGAATAAACCGAAATTTCACAAAAGCGTTTTTATTTTTTTCTGAGGTTATTTGAAGAGATATCCCAAAATAAATGTCACTTCATCGTTGTCACTTTTTCTCCTCTACAAGATGCTACCATTAAATTTGAAATCTGACGTTTCGTCTTTGGCCCACCATCATTAACTTTATTTTTTAAAATACAGATTTTAAGAGCTTCTGATGTCCCAAAATCTATGACGTATCGCATTTATTCGAAAAAATATTTTTTTCACTTTTTAGTAATTTGCTACCAAAATTCTCTTCTCTGCCTCTGTCTCTCTCACACATTTAGTTCTTATGAAAAGTGCCAATAAAATTAATTTTTCGAATAAGGGCAATACGTCATTCGTTTTGGGACATCAGAAAGCTTATAAAATCTAAAATAAAAAATAAGGGTCCAGATCAAAAATCGACGTGTCCGAGCATTGGCGTATCCAGGATTTTGGTTGGGGGGGGGGGGGGGGGCTCTGTCAACAAAAAGTGTCGACCAAAAAAAAAAAACGCTGCGCACAATAGGGCACTCGAACGAACGAACTGTTAAAAACGAAATAAAAATGGCTGCCGCAGGATAAACAAACGTAAGTTTACCAGGCATCCCTATGGAAATTTGGAGTATTCCAATATAAATGGTTGATTTTATGTATTGAAATGCCCGCATTTTGCTGTGTGGTAAATTTTAGCAGTACTGCTGGTTGCTCGGCAATCCTAAGAGTTTTTGGCATGTGATGTAATGATCGCTTTATTTTTTAAATTTATACGTCTGTTATAACACAAACACATAAATTAGTGAAATCAGTTCAAAATATAAAAAACACAATAAAATTACTAGGAAAAAGTTTAAAAAGCTTTTCAAATAGAACCAAATAGCAAGAAGTGTATGAGCCACCGGCTTGTTTCTCCTGCAGTGGCCATATTGAAATCGATATGTTGGACTGCCCTATAGCGTTGATATAGTCCATTTCATTTGCCTCTTAATAGTTATTCCTTTCACACCTGGGAGGAACTCCGGAACAGCTCCAGGGCGTTACGCGCTTATTCCTTTCGAAAAGTGTTTGTTGCATCTCTCCCTTCAAAATCGGGGTCGACTAACACCGGAGCGAATAGCTCGAGTGTTCCAAACTCCTTGAAGAAATACAACTATTAGCTTAAGCCTATATATTTATGCGCTTGTTGTCACATTAGAAAAGTAGAAATGCTGAAATATTTTAGGATCATTTTACTAGGTAGCAAAAGTTCACCGATTATACCTTTCCTTTCTTTTTTTAATGAAGTAGTAAAGGACAAAAATAGGTTATAGGTAGTGACTAGTTTTATGTCAGCCATGTTTGGGAATGGTTTACTAATGAAAAATTTGGCATCCTCGCTTGTTTGGGAAAGTGACGTCCCTTTCCTATCCCGCGTTTTCACAGCAGTTTGAAATTTCGATTTTCAAATCTTTTAATTTTCAGAATTAGACGTTTTTTTTTTTTTACAAGTATACTGATGTTATCAGAATGACTAACAGATTAACTTAAAAATTTGGAAGTTGCCTATTTTTGGTAACATACCCAAATGTTAAGCGCCTATTCTTTTCTGCGGGGCGACAAAAATGTTCGCATCGAGCCACTTATTCGCTTTTTTTTGGTAAGAGGAGACATTCTGTTCACGGAGCTCCTTCTCTCCTGAGGAAGGAAGTAATTCGGACATTCAAGATGATTAAGATAAAGCACTGATTCCCTTGCTGCATTAGGTGCCCGCCATAGAAAAACCTTATTATAGAATAAAATAAATTTTATTTCAAAAATTGTACATGTCACATAAAATACGCTGAAAAAAAAGTCTAGTCTTGCCTTGGCGGGGGCTGCAGCCCGGCAGCCCCCCCCTGGATACGCTTATGTGTCCGAGGTTTTTTAAAAAAGTTCAACCCTGTATATTTTATGAATTTCATTCCAACCTTTTCGTGCTCACTGATGTAGGCTATTTAGATTACAATACGGCTTTTGATAAAATCAGACATGACCGCCTCATTCAGCTAGGTACTCCAGAACAAGAATTGGGATACAAATGACATCAGAATTATTACTTAACTCTATTACAACCAAAAAGCAACAATGAAGATACACACAAAAAAATCTAGAATCAAATCTGACTATACTATTAGAATCGGGCTATTAAAATCAAAACAAATCTACTTCCCTACTACAAAACCTTTGACTTTAATATTTAGTTTATCTAAGTATTACTTTAATTTCAATACAAAAATAATTATATTCGATTAAACTACACTCTGGCACCGAATTACTAATCCACAATCTCAGCTTCGTCTCACATCGAAAATGTGTTATTATTCTGCATACAGGGTGTATCAGGTTTGACTACAAAACTTCTAACACGTGAAAATATGGCCCATTTTGAACAAAAAAAGTTTATACAACATGGGGTCCAAACTCAACCATTTTTAAGAAAAAGGCCTTTGAAGTTTTGACATTTTTTGACCAATATTTAAAAGATAAATAAAATTTTAGTCATTATGAGATGTAAAAAGATGTAGTTGTTCATCCAATTATTAAGTAATTATGCATTTTTAGTCAACAACAATAATGAAAAATTGAAAAAACAACATGAAAATTTTACTCGTACTTTGGTATCTAAACATCTAGCAACATAGCACAGAGAGAACCTTGGTTGTACTGATGATGATTTTGATTTGTTTTGTTATTTCAGTTAGTTGAAGTATTGGAAACGCGCGTAATTCATTTTTTTTTTTTGAAAATAAAATGTTTACAAACGTCTAATATGCAGATACTTGTTTAGGCAGAATAGTTGCAAAATGCTCATTTAGCAGCCAGAATTTAAAGGGAAAAATTTCCCAATAGAACGGCACCCATGAAAGAAATTGTGCCCGTTTCAAAAGATTGCGTGATACGGGAAATGTGAGAGTGCAAAATCTTTGTGTTGATTTTAGCGTTGATTATTAATGTTTTGAGAACCTTTTAACCAAAATTAATATTTTCGTAAACAGGATTTGTAGTTAAGTATTGTTTAATTTTTCTCTTTAATGTTAAGTGCAAAAATGTCATTATTGAGTGCAATTCACATATTTAAAAAACGGCAAATTTTTCATTTTTACTAGAAACGTGCAAATATGTAATATATTTACGTTATTTGAAAGTGAATGACAAACCAAAACGTGAACAGGTGGAACTAAATAAACTCCTTGCAAAAAAAAAACTTTCAAATTTAGCAGTTAACGAAAATACTAACAATTGTCCCATGGTTAATAGGACATTCAAGCTTGAAATGGGCCATATTATCTCATGGTAAAATATTTGTACTCAATTCTCGAAAGAATTTACTTTTATTTGTGCGGGGTATAATTTGGTTAGACTTTGGTTTTATGGTTATTTCGTGGGACAAGGTGCATGAATTGAGTCTTTCATGAAGGAACGGAAGCAATTGATAGAAACTAGAGATGAAAACGGCCATGTCACTAGATCATAGATCAAAGAGTTGACGCATGAAGTTGTACAAGGATCTACTCTGGGACCTCTTTTATTTATACTCTACGTGAATGATTTAGCGGCTCTGCCTATAAGAGGACACCTGACATTGTTTTGCCGACGACACAACGATCATATGGACCGGCGACTGTGGTGAAGACGTCCAGAGAAGGATAGACAAAGATGTGATGTTTGACTATCACTTAGCTAAAATTCAGCTAAAGCTAAAACCGTTCTAAAAGAAATTATAGTCACATCAATACTAATTCATGTTGAATCTGATATTTTGCCATACTTTCTTTTAAAATATAATGTTGCATAATTTTAAAGGCAATCTAGAAATAAATTATATTTAACCGAGCGGTAAATTCAGTTACGATTTATACTATGTTCAGTTACAATACCATAATAAAAATTAAAGTAACTCGACCATATATTCAAAAACAATTTATTTATTGACACCAACAATAAGTTCATTTCGAATTCCAGTTCGTGTGGGTTACAGAGGGAATATATCATTGAGTTGATTGTTTTATATTCACTATTTTATATTCAACCAGAACATAGATTTTTTTGTGTGTAGGTAAAGAACTTTCGGACGAAATCAAAATAAGGCAAGGCGTTAGACAATAATGATATCCTTTTTAATATGTGTCTACTCCGAAAAAATTATCCAAGAAGCGCTGGAGGTGAAACAGTAATACGATATTAGTGGCGATATATCTTCAAGATCTGCAGCAATTACTAGACCGTGAAGTGAATTTCAGTGAGGAGAAAGGTCTAACCCTAAATACCAAAAAAAAAATCAAATGAGAGGTTCACAAAATCACAAAAACGCCAAGAAAGCGTAATGACGCATTCAACAAAATGAAAAATGTTTTATGCAGCAGAGATCTGACTATCAGCTTAAAGACTAGACTTTTGAGGTCTGGGTGGATAAAATTACAAATGAAGTGTTCAGAAGCATGAGAAAATAAAAAGAAGTCTTAAACACCATCAAAATTTAAAAAAAATACAATACTTGGGCCATATGAGGGGTGAGCCCTATAGGTGATCATGCAGGAAAAAAATCTATGGACAAAGTAGCCAAGGAAGAAGGCGCATTTCCTGGTTAAACAACGTAAGATAATGGTTCAACTATCTGTGGAACTATTTAAAATAGTGGCATCGAAGGTTCGATGAGAGACACCTATATGAAGTGGTTGGGAGCAGGAGGGATATATTTTGGAAGGACGCGGCCCTACCCCGGCTTTTCCAAAGAAAGCCTTCTTAGGTAGCGCTTCTTTATAGCACTGGGCTGGGGGTTGGCCTGAACGAATTGGCAGGTCTTATGAGCATGTGAAAGGAGCTGAATGGGCACCAAGTGCAAGGACCTGTCCTTTATCACGGTCTAAATATAAATGAACTTATTCTTACCGTATAAATCCTTTTTTTGGTGCGTAGTCTTTATGATGGACCGAATGGTTAATAATTAACTTCTCATCACCCATGTCCAACCATGATCGTTGAAGGACAAAATCCCTGTTTTTTACGGGCGGAGGACAAGATACTAAAAAAAAATATTTACATTAAATCCCTCAATATTGAAAGTACTCACTTACAGGCATAGTATCCGACATCGTTATTAGGATTCAAATATCCAATTTCAATGGATGCCATCATGTGTTCGTCCCATTTTTTCCTGTAATCTGGATCGTGTAGCACATCAAACATTGTATTCGCACTAATATTTTGGAAGACTGAGTGCACTTTTACCATTTTAAAGTGGCTTTCTGCCGTACTTTTTGTCCAAACCTGAAAGAGGATGCCAAATAAATATGTTAAATTATTGAAGATATTAATTTTCTATATAGTGCATTGTTATACAGCCAAACAAAGTTGAAAAAAAGATATCAAATTCGTGCCGTATCGGAATTGCTGAATTTAGACGCTATTCTTACATAACATTCAATATGTGTAAGAATTTCTCCTACTTTTTTATATAAGCATATCTTCCATAAGTGTTGTTGCTATAAGAGTTTACTTTGAACGGGCTCTGCTGTTTATCTGAGGTAAACCACTGCCTTTATCGACAGATATGGAGTAGCAATAATTCGATATTTTTACAAACCATACAAAGGATGACGTTGCCGAATTTAGGATTTTATGCACAATCTGGCAACATCGCATGAAGGTAACAATCACAGAGGGCCTGAAATAACAAACACAGCCCTTAAGCCTGCTTGGGTATTTATTGATCAACCCCTGTATGCCCAAGGACTAGATTCCTCGACAATGAAACTTACCGTTGATAGAATATTCTGACGAGTGTTAATCTTAAGGGGAAACTTTTGAAAGAGAATAATATAATTGTCTAAACAATTACAGAAAGAATAAGCAATGAATTAGATCATGGCTTTTTTTATACAGGGTGGCAAAAAAGTCGCGCATAATACCTGTGACTTTTTAATTATCTCGTATACGAAAAAATTACCTCAATGAAAGTTGCTCAGTAAATTATTTCTCACATTTCTACCTAGACGAATTGTTTCTGTCACTGGTTTGTTTCCTATCCAGACCAACTTTGTTTTTGCAACTGAAACACCCCGTAGGTGATTACATATTTGGATTCTACTGAGAAAACTATGTATTTTTTGTATCTAAAATTTCCAGCTATTTTCAACTGTTTCCGAAATAATGACAGCTGAAAAATTAAAATTTTCCTAATTACTTAAGAAATTTACTTCCTAATACATACCAATTGTGTCAAGGTGTTTTTATGACAGTGAATTAAGATATGTCAATGTTGAGTACCTGGAATAATTTTCTGTCGAATATTTCTAATTTGCTTGCACTATGGCTCATCTTAATGAAAAACAACGAATTGAAATTTTAATAATGAGCGGTTACGGAAATATGAAGATATCTCAACATCAGATTTGTCAATTTTTCAATGAAAAATATCCCAATAGACCTCCAATAAATCAGTCAACTGTGTGTCGAGTGTTGAAAAAATTGGAAGAACAAAAAGCCAGGCGACAGGCGAATGTAAAAAAAAGAACAGGAAAAACGGAAAAAAATACAGAACGATAATGAAGGATTGCTGATCTATTCCAGAACATTCGACAAAAAGGGAAAGGCGAAATGGGAACAGTCCGAGAAGTCACATGCGAAAGAGAGCTCAAAGACAAAGTAGGAACAATCAATATCGGAATAGTGACGGATTGCGAAGAATTGGAGACGAAATATAGAAAAGTGGAGGAGAAGATGGATGAATTTTATTGAAGATTGGGATGTTCACCCTATTTTCAATATTCAGATACCTAATCGAAATCTTTTCGTACAACATGGTGCCGGACAATGGGACTCGAGATAAACCCATCAAAAATCACCGTAGTGCCTTTCATTAGGAGGAGAAAACTCCCTAGAATAAAGGACATCCGAACACACGAGACCAATGTTACACCGGTGATGGAAGTCAAATATTTCGGCATAACGCTGGACTACAAAATCAGATGGTGCAAACACATTGAGCAAGTTGTGACCAAGGCTACAAACCTTGCAGGCAAAACGTAGGGATGCAAACCAGGGATCTTAAGATACACCATGATAGTAAGACCAACCCTACTATATGAATCGATATTCTGGTTCAAAAAAGTTTAGAAGCAGAACATAAAAGCAGCATCACGGGCGCAATGAAAACCTGTCCTACAGCAGCCATCGACACAATTATGGGTATTGCAGACTTTGATCGCTCCTCTTCACATCGTGGTGGAGGGGGCAGCTAGACGAGCAATGACTAGAATCACGAGAGAGGGGGCTAGCGAGGGAGGTTGGCTTGGAAGGAGAGAATTAACATCTCTTAGCAAGCTTATTCCGCTCCTCGAGTTCCCCAGGGTTGATATGATGGAAACGTACAATTTGAAAAACATTTCACACACAATGATCATAAGCAACAGAGAATGGGAAGGAAACACCATATCCGCTCTTACAATGCAGCAGAAAGCCGTAAAATGGTATTTTGATGGGTCAAGAACTAAACAAGGGACCGGGAGCCGGAGTACTTCGGTCTGGATTCTGTTCTGCCTGTCTTATCTATTTGTGTTCCTAGATAGGTATATTTGTCGCATGCGGATATTTCAACATTATTGTCTAAAGTTAGGTTTCCCGAGTTTTGGCCGATGCATAAGTAATTGATTTCTGATTTGTTCACCGATAGTCCCGATTTTTCATATTCGGTAAGAATTCATGTTGTCACAAATTCTAGGTTTTCTTTATCCTGGGTTATTAGCACCTGGTCGTCTGCAAAATGGAGTGTATATAGAGTCTTTTCGTTATTCAATTGTGTCCCCATACCACTACATGATCTCCACTTTCTTAGTATTTCATTTAAATAGATTTTGAAAAGTGTGGGAGATAAACAACAAACCTTGACGTAGACTCTTAGTTATGGAGAAGCTATCGGACATAGTAGATGCTATTTTTATTCTTGATGATGCCTGGTGATACAGCTGTTTTATTGTATCTATTGCAGTATTATTTGTTTGAGCTTTTTTTGCATCACTTGCCAAAGTTTTTGGACAGGACCCGTGTCATAAGCCTTTGTAAGGTCAACGAAGAGCAGATGGACACCTCTGTTTATAGCAGTTTTTTTCTCATTGAGCTGCATAAGGCTGAATATATGATCAACACAAGATCGTACGGCTCGAAATCTCGCTTGTTCCTCTATAGACAGACATATTTCAGGCGGCAATAAACGCTATAAGCAGATGTGCCGAGTTCAATCTTGACAGAAACTACAAAAAGAGATTGTCATATTTTCAGACAGTCAAGCAGCCATCAAAGCGCTGAGCTCACCTATAATCAGCTCCAGAATGGTTTGGAAATGCCTGGACAAACTGAGCAAAAATGACAAACTATCACTCCAGTGGATACCGGGACACGCAGGGATCGCAGGTAATGAGAAGGCAGACCAATTGGCAAAATTGGAAGCACAAACTCCGCTTTCCGGACCAGAGCCTTTCTGTGGCATATGGATGCACTCCTATGAGGAAGCGTTTGGAAAAGAAGAGCGGAACAAATGGATCAGCCTCTGGAAAGAGCTTCTAGGGTTAAGGTAATCAAAAATGTTTCTTGGGCCCCCTCACGAAGGGAGATCAAAAGACCTTATATCACGGAGTAAAAACAATCTTCGCATTCTCACTGGATTCCTTACAGGCCACTGCCCGGTTGGTTAAGAGGGCACCTTGAGAGAATTAAAATCGAAAACCAAGACAGCTGCCGGTTCTATGAGGAAAAAAAGGAAACTCCGGAACACCTTATCATGGTGTGCGGGGCGATCGTGAACAAACGAATTTCCTGCTTCGGATACTGCAACATTGGACTGGAAGAAATTCCATTCATAGAACAATCCAGCACAACAGCTTTTAAGCTGGATGAGGTGCTTTGAGTGAGAATCCTATCAACTGAAGCACCCAGATGGGGGACACAATGGATCTATGCAGGTCGCAGTGTAACAATACCCCTAATTCATTCATTCATTCAATTCATTCAATAATTCGTACAACATCTTGTAAATCCGTATTGGCATGTGTTTTACAATTATAAATTATTATCTTCTTCAGTGAAATTATTTTTATTTGCAACCATATTTGTAATGTCGACATTATTGACTTTTTTAAAATTTGAAATTAAAATTTCTAATTCTAAAATCTTCGTGGTCTTAAAGCTAAACCCCTGCCGTTACACACATGCTAAAAGTAAGTTTAACATTATAGTTTTGGGTAACCTGCAAATGCTCAGTTATGGCTTGGAAACATAATGCCACACATGCTCCACATAAACCGTAAAATTTGAAATAATCCGTACTGTTTTATTAGCAAGCAATAAAAACCGCAAAATATAGTAAATATTGATGGCGTATGCCTATTTTTAGACTGTTCAACCCATGAGTGATGAAATATTAATAGTTTTAGTGCGTGTATAGTATTTTACGATTGTTTTTGACACACGAAAATTTGGAAAGATTTTTCCAGCATATTAACCACACCCGAATGTCGCATTAGAAGTGGTTTATGGTTTTGCTATAAACTAATGGATATAGTCATGAGTAAAATTTATTCATACATATAAGAAACTCATTTGCATTTTATTACTATTTTATTGGCCATAAACAAGTGCCGAAACTCAGCAGTAGGGTAGGGAGACGGGTCGGTTGTGCTAGCCATGCTTGCTTATTTATTTAAAATTGGGAACCTACTCTTTTTACATGAATAAGATCCAAATTTCTTGCAATTTGCAATGTTAGTTTCTATTAAACAATTACAATAAAAATGTTACTAAACTGCTGGACAATTGCTTTCGAGCAAAAGGAAAATTTTGCCTAACTTTCAAGCCCGATATTTTTGGAACAAAACTATCGACCTCTGGTTTCCATATAGCAATTAGAAAAAGTCAATCTGCCAGCCCGTGAAAACCGGAGATCGATATTTGGTCAGGTTCCAAAAATATTGAGCCTGAAAGTTAGGCGAAAAAATTTCCTTGCTCGAAAGCAATTCTCCAGCAGTTTAGTTGCTACTATAAAGCTTGCTTAATGAATAACAATACATCCTACTATCAACTTTATACAGGGTGTTCCAATAAGGTTGTGCCAAACCTAAAGAGTTTAAAGGAGACGCTGAGAAAAAAAAATGCATAGAGACCTTTCGTCAAAAGTGAGCCGTTTTGGCTCCAGAGTCATTTTTTTTCAGAGACATGTTGTTATCTTTCTGATTCTAAGGGTCGGTTTGACAATTCAAGTATATCCTGAGTATAGG